GGCCGGCCCCGCCCCCCCGGGTCTGCGGGCGGGTGGCTGGGTTTCCTCGCTCGGCCGCCTCTCCGGACTCTGGGTGCACACGCTCCCGGAGGTCCTGTTCCCACGCTCTGGGACCGGTGTGGAATGGGACGGTCCTCCGGTGCCTACTAGGGGCAGCTTTTTGCGCGCAGCCCCGCAAGGTGCACCCGGGTGATGCCACGGGCTCCGAGAGGGTGCCGAGCCACGATTCCAGCTCAGGTGTACCGGAGTCCTCGCAGGACACCTCGGCTGTTGCGCCTGTCTTCCCCCGATGGCCCAAACCGAGAGATCAGCTCAGGGACGAGAACTCGGGCGGCTCCCGCAGCGGCGTGTGGCGCGCCCTAGGCGCGCGGTTGGATGGAGAGCTGTCGGTCCAGCTGCGCCTCTGCTTTTCTGTTCCATCGGCAGCTGTGTCGATCGTTCTGGGTCCCTTTCTGCTTCTGCCCTTTCTGTGAGGAGACCTCGCTGCTGTCGAAAATTCCCAGAGAAAGAGGCGATGGAGGGAAGAATGGATGTCAGAGATACAACTTCTACTTCCAATTTCTGTCCTTTCTACTCAGCCCTCGTCTGTTCTCAGGTGTGAAGCGAGGAAGGGTGACCCACCCTGCCAGGCAGGTGAGAGGGCATGGAAGGAGAGGGAGGGACAGGCTGTGGGGTCCTCGTGGGGTTCAGCGACACTGAATGATGAAGTGTGACAGAGGCCACCCAGGAGCCCCCAGAGCCCTGGGCTGAAAACCCGTCAGAAGCGTCACTCGGCCGGTGCCTGGCAGACGCCAGGAACTTCTCTGAGTCCCACAGCACACTAGCACCGTCTGCTCTGCAGGGCTGTGCGTGGTTCCTTGTGGTAGTGGATAGGGACCTTTGTCTTTTCTCCCTGCATTGGGTGGAGCCCGCGTCCCCCAGAATATGGGCCTTAATGTGCTCTTTGTATCCTGCTCACCACTGGGTACTGGCTGTAGGAGCGTCCCTGAGCCGTTCTCCTCGTCCTGCTCAGCAGGACGTGAAGTCAGGGCGTCCTAGGCTGTGAGGGCTGAGTCCATGCAACAGGGACCTGGCGGGTCACACAGTCACATCAGGACCCGTCTGTTGACTGACTTCTCCCTGTCCTCGGTGCTGTGCAACTTAGGCTGAAACACGGGTGATTGCTTCCGGAGCTGGGGTGGACGTCCATCAGACGAATCCCCACTCACGTTCCCACACCCCTGACTCCGTGCTCCCCCTGGGATCAAGTCTGGCTCTCACTTACACGTTGGAGGAGACTGAGAAGGTAACGTATGGGTCATCTTTGCTGCCATGCTCCCTTCCACTCTTGGGAAGGAGTCTCCTCTTCCTCCTTGCTGGGCACAGTGGTGGGGTGCTGTCCCTCTGTCCCCTCCACATAGGGACCCATGTGGAGGACACTCCAGGGGCAACCCAGGCTCCTTTGCTGCCCCTGTACCCCAGAATCTTCTCGGGGTGGCTAGGGTCCTGATCACCCTAGAGTAGCAGAAGGTGTTCTGTTTGCTTGTTGAGGGAGAGGAGGTGCCACATTGAAACAGTCCAAACAGCTAAACCCCAGGACCTGTCTCTGAGTCCAGGTAGAAGGCCCAAGAGGTGGGGTGCTGAGTCCAGCTAGAGAGCCCTGCAGCTGTTGAGGGGCAGAGCTGGTCCTAGCATGCAGGAAGTGAGGTGCAGGAGGTGCAGAGAAGGCTGGACCAGTGAGCCGGGACTGCTTATCTATCCCTGAGAGGCAGCTCTCAAACCTGGTCGTGGAGTTGCCTGGGAGGACTGCAGGGATGCCCCGAAATGTGTAGGACTCTCTGGCAGTACTGTTTTTGACAGAATAGCCCCTTAGCCATTCTGGTGGCCTTGTCTGCTTTGGATCAAGCCAGGGTGCACCACTAGTTCCAGGGGAAAATGTCGCAGGCCCTGCATGGTAGCCAGCCAGGAGACTCTAGGACAGGTGAGGAGATCTATATGCCAGGACTAGCCCGCCACAGTCCCTTTCCAGGCTGGGCTGCACCTTGCCCTCCATGGAGCTGACCTAGGACCCCATTGGCTCCTCCTGAAGAGCAGCAGGTCCCAACCAGGAGGCTGAGGGTGCATGGGACATGGCTGGTGTCCACACACAGGCAGGTAACTGGCCCTGCTCTCCCAGGTCTCCAGTCCAGGGCCCTCCCAGGGTGGACATCTCCCTTCTCTGCCTGGCCGACTAGAGCCTCAGCCGGGCCTGCACAAGGACCATGGAGAGGGATCAGCCTGGCATGGAAAGGACTGGCAGAGGCGGGCAGGGCAAGGGCCCCCACCAGGCAGGCTGATTCCAGCCAGGTCAATTCCAATCAGGAAACCGAGGCAGGAGCTGCACCAAGCAGAGGAGCAGTAAGACTCACTCCAAGCTCTGCCCCATTTTGGCAGGTGGTTTCCAGGACTGGGAGGTGTCAGAGCTGTCAGTGACGGGCTGGGAAAGCACCGTCCAGCTGACCCTTGGCCAATGGGGCCCCTGGGATGCCTCCTTTGTGTGGCAGCTTTTTGACACTTCCTCGCTGGCATTTGTGGCCTCTGGCCCCCAGAGCCATCTCCCTCCTCAGCCTGCTCTGGACCCACTGAAACATGTCCTTGCATGGCTCAGGTCTGTCCTCTCTGTCAGTGGCTGCCTGGGGTCCATCTCCCTGCAGTCGTTTCCCCCCCTCCTGAGCCTCCTCCCGCACGTCCTTCAGGCTCCATCTGGCTCGACCCCAGCCCCCACCTCTGGCCTTTTGCTTAATCAGGAGCCACAGAGGGAAGGCTCACGGGACCTGCCTGCTGAAATAGGCACATTCTTCACGAGTTGGCACAAATGCCTCTCTGCAAAGCTTGTCTGGAGCCTCGGGCCCCTCCAGGGCCCATGGCTTGTCTCTGCCTCACCTTAAACACCTGACTGGCCTGCTGGCTTCTCTTGCAGTCCTGGACCAGGAGCACCTTCGGGAGCATCTTCGGGAGCACCATGCCCCTCGTCTTTTTATTGGTCAGCGCCTGACAGTGCCGGTACTCAAACAGTGAACGTGGCCTTGACTTGATGGGGACAGTTAGGAGACATTTTTGGTCCAGGGCAGGCAAGGGGCCTGTGGGACAGTCTCTTCCAGGGGCGTCTTTGCCCCAGGGGAGGGTGCCAGGGTCTCCCTGCAGTGCCAAACACCTCCAGGGGAGGGGGTGATTCCAGATACCAACAGACCTGACACCGGAGAATTCACTGGCCACCTGGTGCCCACTTCTACCCACACAGATGGGGGCCTGTGCTGGGGCCCATGGTTTGGGAGGGGCCTGCAAGTGTTCTGGGCCCAGCACTGGCTGTCTGTGTCCACAGCTTACCTCCTGGGCCACCAAATCCCAGCCTGACAGCAGGGTCTCACCAACCTGCCTTCACTCCTGTGCCTAGGCAGGGTGGGCACAGGTGCACCGGGAGCGTCAGGACTCTCGCAGCCAGCGTGGAGAGACAAGAAGTGCAGTCTCGCCCCTCTTTGCTCAGCTGCAAAGTTTCTCCTGCTTTTCCTCTGCTTCCCTTCTCTCCCCTTAGATTCGAAGGGTTGGATTCTTGTCCTCGAAGTGCTCCCTCCACCCGATCTCATACGTACCAGGCCTGGGTTCCGAAGTGTGCCCAGGAGTACAGGGGGAACTGGAGATGAGAGCCCGTGATGAAGTTCCTCAGAAACCTCTTCTCAGGAGCTCTGTGGGGAACCTGCTGCTTTATCTGCTGCTTCCGCCGCAGCCCCACGGTCCCCAGTCCTGCTCCTGTCTTGCACGTGTGTGCATGTGCAGCGCTGAGGCAAGGCGCCTCTTCCTCCTGCCCCGAGGAAACGAGCACTCCTGGCCCTTGTGAAGCACCTGCTGCTGATCCACCTCAGCAGCTCCTCCCACCTGTGGGCCTCCCGTTATGGCTACTTTATGTGTCAATGTGACTGGGCCACAGGGTGTGCAGATATTTGGTCAGACATTATTCTGGGTGTTTCTGTGAGGGTGCTTTTGCATGAGACTAGCATTAAAATCAGTAGCCTAACATGGGATTTGATTAACATTTTAATCAGTAAAGCAGATTGCCCCGCCTGATGTGGGTGGGCCTCACCTAATCAATTGAAGCCTGAACAGAACAAAAAAATGGGCCCTCCCAGTGTAAGGGAAAATTCTCTAGCCTTTGGAATTCACCTGTAACATGGGTTTTCCTGCCAGTCAGCCTTCAAACTGAAACATCGGCTCTTCCTGCCTGCTGGGTCATGGTCTCCAGCCTGCTGGCCCACCTGCAGATTGGGTTTGCCAGCCTCTACAGTCATGAGCCAACTCTGTCATCTCTATATATGTATACGTGTGTGTGTGTCCTGTTGGTTCCGACTCTGGAGAACCCTAATACACCTCCCTAGAAGGTTTCTTCCTCACTGGGAGCTTGGCCCTTTCTGGCCTCGATAAGCTGGGAGGGGTGGAGGATGCAGAGGTGGTTCCCCTCTCCACTGCAGAGCTTCCCAAGCCCAGCCGATGGTGCCAGCTTGCAGGCAGGTCTCCAATGACTGAGGCCCGGCTGCATCCCTCCCAGAGGCTCCCCACCCCTCTGCTCACTGGGAAGGTCTCCACCCAGCCATCCAGCCTGGCGGCCATGGCACAAATCTCAGAGGCCATGGGTTGCTGCCCTGCCCTCCACTGGTACACTGACAGCTGTAAGCTCTCCAGCACAGGAACAGGCCTCTCTGCACATATGGCAATGTCAGAAATCAGGCCACTAAGGGCTGGAAATCAATTTATTTAAAGGGTTGAGAGAGAAATAACAGCACCCGTGAATCAGGTCAGTAATGCAAGATGGTGGCTTGAGTGTGCTGGTGGCCACAGGAAGCTCATCAGTTATCTGAGGATCCTTTTCTCAAATGTCCAGTGGGGTCATGGGTGCTTGGCAGCTGGCCAAGCTCAGGATGCCTGGGGCCCTCTAGTCCTCACAGAGAGGAGAGGAATCTCCCTGTCAGTGGAGGGGCAGGAGACGGGCTGGGCTCCCACCTGGCTGAGCGTTCATGGAGGAGGACCTTGACAGTAGGTGTGGCTGGAGACTCTCCAGGCCTCTGAGTCCAGAGGAAGGTGATTTTAACTTGGTTGTGGGGGCAGAAGAGGAGGAAGGAGGTTGAGGTTAGAGAACCCATCCCTGCTCTGGGCAGGGAAGCTCTTGGGGACCATGGAGATTCCCAGTGTGAAGGGATGTGCCCCCTCCCTGGCTACAACCCTGGCTGACTCCTGAGCTGAGCAGGGCCATAGGCAGCTGGCCACTGTGGAGATGGTCTGTGTGGCCTGGCTAGAGAACCTAGTGCAGGAGCTTTGAGCCAGGAGCAAAGAGTGGAGAGCAGAGTTGGGCGGGCAGGACATGTCAGTCCTTGCCTGCCGGGGCCAGGCTACGGGGGAGCAGCTTGGTATGTCCAGAAGGGGACAGAGGTGCCCCAGCAGGGGGGTCCAGCTTCATCTTGTCCAGGACAGTCTTCTTGATGGCAGCTGGTGAGACCTTCTCCTGGTCAGCCATGGACTGCAGCTCCCTGGAAAGGCAGTGAGGAGTCAGGTCTGGGGCTCAGCCTCCTTCCAGAACCCAAGGGTCCATGGGGGATGAAGGAGCAAAGCCCCACAGCTCCCAGCACCTGCTAGCCCCAGGCGGTGCCATCACCCCTACCTCAGGGCCTTTGCACCTGCAGTGCCCCCTGCCAGCTACACCTCCCATACATACACTCAGCTGCACGGCTCCCTCTCGCCATCCAAGCCGGCTCAGAGGTCACCGCATCTACTGCAGTGCCCCCAGATCCCAAGCCCTCACTGCCCGACTGACTACAGGACGAATGTTTATGCCTTCCCCATCTGCCCGGCAGGCCCTACATCCTAGCCTTTTGTCATGTGCTAGCACTCAGAGAAGTCTGTGGGCACCGCAGTGAGAAAGACGCCATCCGTCCATCCCACAGACCTGACCTTGCGGGACAGCGACTCCAGCCCTGGCTCTGCTTTTCCCCAGCTGCAGGATTCCAGGCAAAACACCAAACTCTGCACCCATCTCCTGCTCTTTGGTTTTCTTTCAACTCTCATCCAGCATTCCTCTTGCCAGAATGCTGCTACGTGCCTTGTTGGTCTAACCCCCCAGCGAGGCCTGGGGGCAGACCTGACCTGGCCCACAGAGGTTCCCCAGAGTGCTGCCACCTCACGGCCTGGCTCCCTGACTGGGTGATGATCCTGGCTACGATAATGATGAAACCACATAGGCACACATGAGAGCGCAGAGGAGGCCTCCGGATGCATATGTGGATGTCCCTTCCTCACAGGACAATGGAGGGTGGTGAGGGGCACCGCAAACTGTGACCCTGGAGAAGCGTGGGACCCCCAGTGTCCCGCCCAGCGCCAGGCCAGAGCTCATTTACTATCTCAGTGAATGACAGCACTGATGCCTGCCAGGCCAAGGGCTCTGGTGTGCTGGGCGGGCAGCCAGGGGAGGGGGCAGCAGCGGGGGCCCACCGTGTGCGGATGCAGGAGGCCTCCACGGCATTGATGAGCAGGGAGCGGAAGCCACCACTCTCCAGCACGTGCAAGGCATGGATGGTGGCCCCACCAGGAGAGCAGACATTATCCTTGAGCTGGCCTGGGTGCTGTTCTGAGTCCAGTAGCATCTTGGCGGCTCCCTGTAGCCAGAGACAGGGGCTGATGGCTGTGAGGCGCCTACCTGGCTCTGAGGGGTGCTACCCAAGCCACTATAGCACCCACTGACTCCCCACCCATCCACTCCCAGGACACCAGCAGAGGGCCAGGAAACACTGACCAGGAGGGCCTGCGCACCGAGGCGTACTGCCAGGCGCCTTGGAAGTCCCATCTTCACACCCCCATCAGCCAGAGCATCTAGAGCTGTGAACGCCTGTGGGGAGAGGGCACCCTAAGTCGCTGTCCCGGCCTCTCTTCCTCCACCTCTGGGCAATGCCCTCAGGAGCCTGGAGCAGGAAGGTCATCAGGGAAGGGCAAAGGGCCAATTCTCACAGCCTTGTAGCCCCACCTGGCCTTCCGAGGGGAGCAGGAGCAGACGTGCCCTGACGTGCTAGGAACCACCGCCGCCCACCCACTCTCCTTCCCTCCAGTCCTCACGTAGGCAGGGCCGCTTCCGCTAAGCCCTGTGACCGCATCAATCAGGTCCTCCTCCACCTCTGTGCAGAAGCCCACACTGCCGAGGAGCTGCTCCAGGAGCCTGCCGTCCTCCACCTGGGCGTGTGTGCCCGTGGCGTACACAGTGGCCCCCTCTCGCACCACGACTGGGGTGTTGGTCATGCAGCGGATGACCTTGGGGGCTGGCTGAAATGCCATCAGCTTCTGCAGGAGAAACCGTCTGTGTCCACCCTAGCCTCAGCCATCCTGCCCTCACCCCAGCTGAGCATTTCCTGAGTTCTCACCGTGGTCTGGGCCGCTGCACCCCTTCCCAGATGAAACTCCCGACCGCTCTGCAAACAATCCACCCTCTCTCCAAACCCTGCTGGGCCCAGCCGGCAGTGCCCACCTTCTCAATGGAGCTGATGGTGACACCAGCTGCACAGGACACCACGATGTGCCTGTCCTCGATGTCGGCGCCAATCTCATCCAAGATGAAGGGGATGATGTGAGGCTTCACGGCCAGGAAGAGCACGTCACTATGCTGCACCGTCTCCTTGTTGTGGGGTGTCAGGTTCACCCCCATTTTCTGTAGAGAGTGCCGACGTGGGCTCGGCCTGGCCCTGTGGCTGTCTGGCCCCACCTAGCCTTGCCCTCTCTTCCCCCCCAGGCCCCACACATAGAACAGCACGGAGGCTGCTGGGGTGTGGGTAGGCTGTGGGCTCAGGACATGGAGCTCCGACCCCCTCAACTACCCTACGCTCCCAGAAGAGGAGAGGCATTCTGTTCTGGAATGTGTCCCGTTTACAGACAGAAAATGGACACTCTATCCGTGCCATAGCCCTGGCCCATTCTCCCTTGGGCCCCTGCCCTCCAGGTGTGAGTGGTGGTGTGGGCTGTGGTCGCAAGCTGCCCCACTCTTGGATCTGAAACTCTAATGAAGCCATGGCGAACTGAAGCTGGGTTCAGCCCCTGCGGGTGTCCTGTGGGGCCCCCCCATGGTGGCCCTTGCTCAAACGTTAATGTGGGGAACCCCATTCCAGACCAACCAACAGCCCCTACCATCAGCTGTACACATGCGCAGCAGCCAGGTCCTGAGAGCCTTGCAGGGTGAGAAAGCAGGGTCTCTCCCTCACTGGGGTAGGGGGCCGGGACACAGCACCTTCCCAGCCCCCCAATGTCAGCACTGCCACAGATCCACCCCCGACACACTGGACATACTGACGGGCCCTGGAGGGACGCAGTCTTCCCTCTACCCCCGACCCTGCACCTACCCTGAGAGCAGAAACCGTGGCTAGGTCCATGTCAGGGGAGCTGGCCACGATCTTGTGGGCAGCAAGGACACCTGCAGGGACAGGTTCCTCCCTTAAGGCCAGATCTAGCAGCCCTGCTCCACATGCCCAGGAAGGTGAATGAAAAGAGAAACCCCGACCCCAAAGGCTGGACAGCAACATCTCCGACCCCAAACATGTGGAAGCTGCTCTTTCCACGGGACTCGGCCCGCAACCCCGCGCCCCACCCTCTGCCCAGCCCTTCCCCCTCGGTCCCCTCCCTTGCCCCGGGGCCTACCTGCTGCCGTGAAGCCCCTGGCCAGGGCAAAGGCCAGCTGGCCCGCCCCGATGAAGCCCACGCTCATGCCGGCCGCGGCGTCGCCCGCAGCGCTCACAGCTGGCGCCGGCTCCGCAGGAGCAGCTGCGGGACCAACCCG